CTTTCCCTCCCTCCTCAAAAGTTATTTAAAAACTGGTTGTTAAATACAACTACAGCTTTTTGTGTGTAACTGAAATGTGTGGATTTATGATACATATCATAAGATATATCTATATAATATGGTGTATGATGGTTTTTACATGTTTTTTCAATGAAATATGCTGTAGTTTTAAAAAAAAAAAAAAGTCATGGTATAGTAAAATTCTATGGGTCTATGTTGCATGAAAGGTCAAAATACACTGTCAAAATAGTCCTTTTTTAGAATATACAGAAATGCACCAGTATGAAATGTTAATGCAAATAATTTTCACAATGTTAATTTTATTTTTATTCAATGTTCATACTCATTTCTACCTAGTGTTTTTTTCCTCTTTATGGGCTGTACGGTGGTAACTACCTAATAACCTCAGTTTTAACCCTGGCTCTATTGCAATCCAGAGACTTGCTTACAGTAGTAAAGAATCATGTTTCTGTGCGTATGAATAGGCATGCATCAGTAACCGTGTCTTGCACAGTTCAATCTGTTTGAACAATTAAAGCTGCGTGCCTATCTGTACTGGAAAATTTCCATCCCCTGTGACATTTTGACCATCGTGTTAATACCCTCAGTTCCAGAGGGCTGACAAAGCTGAATTCTGAGGCAGTGACAGTTGTTCTCCTGGAGCTGTTGCTGCTTTTATTTGTCAGAAAATTATTTTATTTTAGTACAGCGACAAGGCATAGTATGGTAGTCCGCTTTACAAGTATCCAGCAGTAACAGCAATACAAGTACAGATTTTTCAGCACAGTACTCTCACGCATTGAAAAGCAAATATTTTAAAGTTTAAAGAGTTCGCTATACTAATGGCTTAAATATTCCTTATCTTTAATTTTTCCAGTCAGTAGCAGCATTAATTCTTTTAAACAAATAAGACATCAGTAGTTGGATAAACACAGGATCTTGTAACCAAACCCTGAATCCGCTGTGAACCAGAGAGGCTGTGAGTGTGCACAGAGCAAGTGCCCAGCAGGAGCGGGTTGCCGTTACTAGCCCCGCGCTGTTCTGGAGGGCCAGGCAGGAGGACTCGTTCTGGAGGGCCAGGCAGGAGGACTCGTTCTGGAGGGCCAGGCAGGACTCCTCCCGGGCGGCTCACCGCGGCGGCCCAGCAGAGCACCCACGGAGCTTCGCGCTCCATGGCTAAAACTGCAACCACGGTTCTTTTGAAAGGAAACTTGCCCAGTTTTAGCTGCACACTGTTGTGTGGTGTGTACGATCTTTGAAACTGAAGGTTTAAAGTAGTTTTTGAAATCTCTCCTGGAAATTCCTGAAGTGTTTTGGATGTGAGGTAGGCCATTCAAAGATCAGCGGGTACGGTGTTCAGTGTACTGTTCTACATACGATAATGGTCTCCCTCTGCAAGCTGCAAAGTTAAACGTTTTTTAAATCTGATCTCATTTAAGAAGAAAACTTCAGTCAGGTCAGGATAAAGTGTGCACTGTTACCTTTTTAGTGGCCTGTTCCCACTGTCCCTTCTTTTTTCCCTTTAAGTCAACTTTGTCTCAGTTCTCTGTCTTCTGCATCTTTAGCTGTTCGTTCCTGTCCTTTCACCAGGTGCTCTAAGGCTTCGAATCAAACATCTTGAAGACCACTTGCGTCCATATGCCTGATTTGTTTACTGTTTACCGGTTCTTGGCTTTTGGAAAGACCTTACTAATAAGAGAACATGGGCACAGGGACTTTACATTGACTTGAATTTGACTGAATACAGGCCACCCCCAGGTTGCTAATCCAAGACTCCTTGTCCGTCCAGTGCCATCCCACCTTCCCGTCCCTGTTCCAAAGAACTGTCCAAGAACTGAAACCTCCCTGACTACTCTCAGGGTTTCTGCGCCGGCAGCCAGTTTGTTGTCCGATCTCTTTGTTACTCCCTTGCCTGGACACGTTATTCGATCCTCATTTTTTTCCCTCTGCATACAGAATTTTCATGGAATCTTTCCAATTTTGCATGCTTTCCCACACGTTGAGAACACAGGAATTCCCAGCCCTAGATGTTCTCTGTCAAGGCAGTTCCAGTTCTCAGTGTTGGTCCCTCCCGTGCTCCGGTTCTCTTCCCTCTATTTGTTGTTAGGTTGGCTTGGGGACGTTTTTTTAATTTTGCTAGCGGGTGCAAGGCTATTTGGCCAGCTAGTCCTCCAGACTCAATTTCCTCTCTCTTTCCTTGTCTCTCAGCTGTGCTTTCATTTTGTAAATCAAAATTTAAGTCCTGAATTTATTTTTCTTTTGGTCATTTTTGTGTAACCAATGTAACAAAACTTGCACAATGACACAGTCCATAGATGTGTAATGTCTTAAAGCTTGATGTCGATGTTACAGTTCCTAAGGAAGGCCTGAAGAGTCAATCTTTGTTTGAAGAAATTCGTATGACATACATCAAAGAGCTGGGAAAGGCCATAGTGAAGAGAGAAGGGAACTCAAGTCAGAACTGGCAGCGATTTTATCAACTGACTAAACTGTTGGACTCTATGCATGATGTGAGTTTTAAAATGAAAGCTGTAAACATGCTAGATAGATAATTTTGGGGCTATCGCAGTAACCTCTTCTATTCTTCTTCTATTTTTTGTTTAAAGGGATAAATACTGGGGGGGTACGCTCCCCTACTGTCCAGCTAGAGAAGACTAATTGAAAGAGATTGACTTTGTGCTTTCAGAGTACTTTTGCAGTGGATTCCACAGCAATTAATTTTATAAGTAGTTTATGTTGAAATGTCTTTAGTTTTTAAAAATGTTGCTTTAAAATGGTTTAATTCAAAAATTTTATATTACTTTGTAATAGTAGGGGAAATCTGAAGTTTCCCAACAGTATTGTCTCAAAGACAAACCATTCAAGAATCTATGGAAGTGTTTGAAAGTATGTTAAAGTCATGCATCGGTGCTATTTTTAGTATTAGTAGTGGTTTAATTTTGCAAGGATTGCCATAATTCAGGCTGTTTCCTCTTGTGCTGTGTGGTCTAAATTGTACATATCCAAGTACAAGTTGGTGTAGTGTACACAAGTAGTGTACAAGTCCAAGTAGTGCTTAAGCTGGATAAACCTTGTGTTCTAGAAATCAGTTTTTTCTTGTTAGTTTACCAAGCACCTGGAAAGAGCTGGATCAAAACCTTATAAAGTTTATCCACATCTGTATTACTTATATGCTAAAATGGGAATCAAAACAAAATCTCTTCAGTATTTTTGAAGACCTTGCAAGGTGTAGTCACTTGTTCTATATTAGAATGGCATTTACAAGACTTTTACTAGGTAAAACGAGGATAAGCGTGAGTGCGTCTGCTGAGCGTTGCAGAGATTATCTGAGTGGTGTGAGGAGTACTTAAGGTAGCTGGCAAAAGAGTTATCGCTCTGGCCTGTGACTTGCAGTGTAGGCAGAATTTACTAAGAAATAAAGATCTAGATTAATAGTGCTTCTGTATGCATGCCTGTGAAAGTAATTCTTTGCTTTATCCCTTGTAGGTGGTTGAAAATCTTCTGAGCTTTTGCTTCCAGACATTTTTGGATAAATCCATGAGTATTGAGTTCCCAGAGATGTTGGCAGAAATCATCAGCAATCAGATACCAAAATATTCAAATGGAAATATCAAGAAGCTCTTATTTCATCAAAAGTGACTGCCTTAATTCAAAAGGGTTGCCTTAAGAAAACGTCAGATGATAGCTTTTTTTTTTTTAAAAAAAAAAAAAAAGAAAGTAAAAACCTACCAGACTCTAATTTTGTCCTTGCAGCGGTGTTTCTTTTGTAATTATGCACTACATGTGGTTTACAGAGGGCCAAGATTTAGGCTATAGAAGCAGCGGATTTCTCACATTCAAGAAAGAGTTGGGGAGAAAGGAAAGGAAAATAAATCTTATTTGTCAGAAATTATATTTCTCCCCCTGTGCAACAACCATGGATGCATCAAAACCACCGGTGACAAGCTCTGAGGCTGTGTTATGAACATTCTGCTAATTAATTTCTGCAGTTGGCTGGAGACAATTTTCTAGGCTTTTTTCTTTTTTTCTTTTTTTTTCTCTCTTTTTTTTTTTTTTTTTTTAAGTAAAGCGTTTTGGATTTTTTTTTTAAAGTTAAGGTAGCATTTTGGTTTATGCATGTAACCTGAAGAAAGTTTACAAGTGTATATCAGAAAAGGGAAGTTGTGCCTTTTATAGCTATTACTGTCTGGTTTTAGCAATTTCCTTTAACTTTATATACCGTGAAGTAGGCTTGTTCATTTTTTCTTACATAATTTTTTTGTAATACTTCAAGATGCCTATTGTACAGCTGGTTTTTTAAGGTGGGGCAGCTCGTAGCTTTCCTAAATGACCTCTAGACGTTAATCCTTGAGTATATTCATGTGAAAATGGGTTGGACTTTTCTAACCTAATAGCTTTCAACTGTCAAAGAGACCGTAAAAATTAGGCATTTTTTAAGGGTCAGGGTGGGTGGGAGAATACTCTCAAATCTAATTTAAATAGATACGAGTGAAATAAATACTTTTGGTATAAGTGCAAAAGTGTTGGATATGCAGCTTCTTAGAAAATTAACCCAGTCCTAACTGGATGTAAATGAGCAGGTTATTTTATATATTAAAAAAAAAAAAAAAGCCTGATTTTTGCATATAATGCAACAGCCATAACTTTAAGAGTCATGGGCTGCATTGATGCCAAGAAGATCAGTCCTGACTGCCCATCAGGAAATTTTCAGGAAAATATGCATAGCTTAAGAAAAGTTTACTTCTGTGTGGAGAAACTCACATTTTCTATACACTTAAATCTATCATTGTACAAGTATATATGGGAAAATATCATTGACTTAAGAGGCAGACTTGTAATTATGCCCAGTGGTTTGTTTTTGTTCTGTTTTTATTGTATCAATTCTAGAATTTTTTTCTTCAATTAGATGTTTACCTTCATGCAGGCGGTAAAACAGACCAACTGCACTGACTGATTGTAACTCTCTGGATATACGGACTCCAGACTCGTGTGGTTAGACACCCGTTTTCACATTTTTATCTGTCACTGATGGGTTCATCTTCTTTCCTGGAGAGCAGGAAAATGCCGCTACTGATTTTGTGGTCTTAGAATTGTACGTCAAACTTTCTGTCTTTGTAAGGCTGCATCCCTTCATATCAAATTACTAGCGTGCCATAAATTTACCATAGGTCTTGTGAATTTCTCCTTGTTGCCATTGATAATTATATTTTAAAACGTTTAGAAGCTGTAGTAGCCTTTTCTACATGCACCTTAACAATTTTCTGTATCTCAAAATTTAAGTATTTACTAAGCCACTCTAAAATTTGATTTTTACGCAAAGTGGCCAGATTATTTGTGTAATAGAAATGAGAAAAATCATCTGATAAGATACAAAACCTAATATATTTTTATATTTAGTTATAGTTTCAAGTATGTATAATCGGTATATTCGCTGATCTGAGAAAAGAAGGGAAGGGCTACTGCAGCTTTAACAGCAATTTATTAAATGACTGTAAAATAGCTTGTATAGTGTATAATAAGGATGATTTTTAGATGACAGATTGCTTTATCATGATACATGTAATTATATTTTTTGTAGGGGTCACAAAGATGTGGAATGGTAACCTGTACAAGTTGTGGTTTGTCTGGAAAGTGAAGGCGTTGGTGTTCGCTATCCAAAGAAGTACTCTGCTTAGAAAGAAGAACTTGTGTTCAGTGGATGCTTTTAGGGTCGATTTTACATTTATCAAATCACTGTGTAAAAATTCGAGTTGGACCTTGGCTGGAATACTCCTATCTGTATGTTTGGTTACCATTCACATTTCATTAGCGAATCAGACCTCCGCTGCAAAAAATGTAAGCCGAAAAGATGCGTGTGTGCGCATGGATACATACACCTCTGACCATATGGGGTTAATTTCATATACAGCCTCGCGTACCACAGCAAAAACAGCTTGAGAAATTTGGCAATAATATGCATACAGGTACCAGCAATATGTAAATATAGAGCATAGGTTGTTCACAATACACTAGTACATTTCTATTGTTCAGCAAAAGTTTGTTTCCAAGTGAAATAGGAAACTAAATTTTCATCCTTTCTTAAATCTCTTTTTGAATGTTATACCTATTAAGAAAAAGATACTATATTAAGTACTTTGGAGTAAAATATCTTTAATAAAAAAAAGTAATCATTCTCTTCTCTTCGAATGATCTGTAAAGAATATGTACATTTTGTAACAGTTAAGCTAAACTTCAGTATTTTAATTATAACTTTCAACCCAACTCAATGAAAGTATTTATGCGACTTGTTCAAGATACAGATAGGAGTTTCATACTGTTTGGTTTCAGAAGGGCTCTTCGGCTAAAAGGAGGAGCTGGAAAACTGTTCTTACTTTAGAGCATGTTTTAAGAAGTTCGACTGGGAAGCTCGAGTCATCGATCTCATTTTAATCCCCAGATACCTCAATTTGAACGAACCTGCGTGAAAGAGCGCATGCGCGCGCGCGTGGTGGGTGGGTGGGTGCACGCGTGCACGCGCTTGTCTGGGCCTCTGCATGCACAGCCATCCGTATTTTTGTGTGCTGCGTGCCAGCCAAAAAGGAACTACAGTGGACGTGAACAGACTACTGTCACCTGGAGAGAATTGATAACATAGGAGAAGAGAGGCTCTCTACCCCTTTTGGTCTGTATGCCTGATATTCGTTTTTAGTTTAAGGATTTAAGGAAAAAAAGGAAACTGTGATGTTAGAAGAAAGCATTCATCCTGTATGTGCTGTTAAGTTTTAAACTTCACAATTGAAAATATGTAGTACTTTAGTAAGCAGTGAAAAGTACATGTTGTGTGTATCAGTAGTCCTTGTAGCACTGGGTGATATCTGCACTCTGGATAAAGCAGGGAGAAGTGTGACTTCTGTCTCTTCAGTGCCTTACCACGTAGTGCACGCGTCCGACGGGGGCATCTGCGGCCGCCGGGCGCGGGCCGGCCGCCCTTGCCCGTTGCACGTGGAAGCCGATAGGAATGGCCTTACATAGGATAAGCCAGGTCACGGGGACGGAGAGGGGAGGAACCGTGCGTCTCGCCCGGTATGGTGGTCACCCAAAGCCAAGAGTTACCCACATCTTAGATCTCATGGGGAGCTTTGCGGCTGGAAGGAAGGGAAGGCTGCGGCAGTGAGTCTGGAAACAGCTGCCAGCTTAAGCTTACAAAAACCTCGCCAGCGTCACAAAACCAGGTGGACAGCAGGAGGGAAGCGCCTGGACCAAGGTCAGGTAACTCCTGTTTCCCTTAGTCGTGCTTTGGCGAGCGAGGACGTCGGGGTCGTACCTTGAGAGCGAGATTTTTTTAAAAGATTGTACATATTATATACCAGTTAAGCGCTGCCCTTTGTCCAGCCTGCAACCAGGCGTTGCTGAGCCATCGTTGTTACATAGGAATCAAATTTTCAGGAAAGGATTAGAGCCTCTTCGAAACCGCGAGAGGCGTTCGTTTCCTAACGAAAGGCTGTGTGTATGAAAATATCCCCCACCTCCGAACTAACTTGCATAACAGCGTCAATTCAACAATGTGTCATTACTCTATTTTGTATATTAAACAAAAGCTATATAATGGGGTGGATCCTATATCATACCGGTGTATGGCATTATTAAAAAAAAAAAAATCATTATTTTTATCACAGTAATTTTAAACAGCATAAAAAATTAAACCAGTGACTCCTGTTTAAGAATAAAAGTTGTAGTTTTTTATTCATGCTGAATAATTCTGTAGTAACAAGTCTGTAGTTTTCACCTACTCAGTGAAATGTTGGACTGTAAAAGCTTGTGTGGAACTGTTGAACATTTATTTTTTCATTTAAATTTGCTGTTCTGGTAATACAAAGCCACACATCTGTACATAAGTTGCAGTAAATGTGAGCCATTTACAGCAATGCCGAATAATGGACAGAAACCGTATAATAAAATTCTGCTTTTTTCATTAAATGGCTTCAAAATGCTTTTGTAGAGTTTTTGCTGCGTACCTGAAAAAGTTCACTAGCGACAGTTGGAGCGGTTCGGTTCATTTATGTCATTGTCATTATTTGCCACGTATGCAAAATTTGCTTATACTGAAGCCAATTTCTCCTGCAGTTAAGTTCTAGAGTGGAAGAATTTCTGATAATTAAGTTCAGATTAACGTTTTAATTGGAAGTCATTAGTTGCATTTTCCGAACCTTGCCAGATCTGCTGTTAAATCCATAACTTCCATTTTCTGGAGCGGGAACTCTGCCGCCGTTTCCTGGTCGACTCCAGTGCAGGTCTGCGCGGTCAATCAGGCCCCGTCTAGGCCAATCTCCTCCTAAGAGCAGGGTCAACACTGAATTTGACTTGCTAAGGGCTTTTTCTATCTGGATCTTGAAAACTCTAGCAATGGAGAGAGTACAAGCTCTGGGCAACCTGTTCAATCTTCGTTAGATCCTCAATGGCGCTAAGTAAATACCTAGAATAATTTAAAATGAAAGAGGAACCGGCGTTTTCAAAACGCGGCGTATTTCCATCAATAAATAAAACCTCCGTGTTTTCCCCCCGACTTTAGCATAACGCGCTCCTTTACCCCCTAGAATAGCAGTGCCTGATCGGTGCTATAATAAAATCTAGTTAACTGCAACCTAAAATGCCAACTTCCCAGCAGGGAACAAAGTATTTGAGTTGTTTACAACTAACACAGAGGCTCACAGAAACGTCCCTGTTTCTTCTCAAGCTAGTTGTCCGCAGATCAGGTTTAGCCCCAATACAAGAACAAGGTTTATCACAGATAGCCCTACATTTATTGGTCTAAGAATTAGGAAAAGACACTTAAAGACGATACAGCTCAAGATAAAATAATCACTTTATGGCTGCAATACGAATTCGAAGTCTCAGGAGTCTTTCGTGCTCAAGGGCATCAGTTACCAAGGGTCCCCCCTCCGCCCGGCTCTGGCCCACCGTTACGGACCTTAAAACGCGCCATGAACGGCTGCAAAAG